GGTCGATTCGTGTGCGAAAACTGTTATCGGTGAGGTGGACAGTCGGCTGGAGAGCATGGGAGAGTTCGAAAGTCCGCAGCTTCGGGACCATGAGAAAGCTATTATCATGGAAGACATACGCCTTCGATGGATCTTCTTTACTAATCAGTTCTTCACAGACTGGGAGCTCTGGTCGAAGTTCCCGCTGCCTGTCATTCTGTTGCATATTCGTCAGTTGGTTCGACGGGTGAAAACGAATCGCCGTTTCTACTGCCAGAATTTACCCATAAGCTCTCTGCTCACGGCAGCTGGCTTCTATTTCTGGTAAGTCAGTTCCTTCTCCTTTTGTCTGTCCCTTTCCCACAGAATCTTATTAAACATATAAAAACCCGCTCATACTATTACAAGTCTGTCATATGTGCAGTTCAGTTTTATTAAGGGAAAGAAAACCAAATGCATTTGAGCTCCCTATTGGTAGAAATGTGGCTAGGAAATGTATCGATACAAAAGAAAAGTTAAAAAATACCTCAATTATATGCTTGTAGGTAGAAAGCGAGCAACCGTTGAATAGCCGAAAGAGTAATAATACATTGTTACTTACTTAGTACGAGTAGGGAAATAGTTGTAAGAAATTGTCTGGTCGCGTTGATAAGGGTGGAGCTGGTCATTGAGATGTTTGACGCATATCCAGTTTACTCTTCAATGTATTCATACAAGTAGGGAAGGGCGTTCCACAATGCAACTGCTATGTTACTGAAGATAAAGTTGCGTCCACCTATCCTTGCTTTGCCTGGACGTAGTTTCAAAGTATGACGTCGCAAAGTGAGCGTGTTAATATGAGGAAAAAATCATCGGGGTCAACGCAAAAATCCAGGCAATTTTATAGCTCGGAAGATTGATATGAAATCCCCTTGTAGTTAGATGTAGGCCAGTACCCTATGTTTCATTTCTTTTTGTGCTTCCAGCCCTCGGACGACTGTCCCGGACTCAACAAAACTTGCCCTGCTGAATTTCGCATCGGCGAAAGGGACAGCTGACACGCGCCCTGAGCCTGTTGATGCCGAGGCGGCAGTAATTGAGGCTTCCAATGTGATCCTGTATAACATCAGGCGGTCTATTTACTCGATGATGCGTCTTATGTTGCGCAAGTCTGTTACTATTAGGGACGTCAAGACTTTGTTCTCGTTTGCCGAATCTTCAGCGCATCCGGATGTTGTAAGTTTTAACGACATTAACGCTATTACTACTGTTTTGTTTTAAGTAGACGTAGTGTATTCAATTAGTTACGTGGTCTTGTTTGGAGTGAATTGCGATCTGCACTTAAGCTCATTGGCTATAGTCCAACTTCTATCCGTGAAGTCTTAAGATTTGAATCCGAGTTTAAATTTTATCGTCTTAAGCTCTGCCCCTGATCCTTGGAACCACACTTTGTAGACTGCATCCAGAATACTTTCAGGTAAAATGGGGGCGTCCCGTGGGGCTCATATTGACCCCGGCTGTAAGTGTGACTGACCGAATCACTGAACGCCATTTTCACATGACGTTTTCCACCACAAATCGCAGTCCAACAGCGCAAGCGTGTAGTTGTCTGATAGAGCTCTGGATTCGGGTTAAATTTTGTCTGACCAATCTGAGTTTAAGGCATGATTGAGTATACAGTCACCCTCACATTTATCCGAAGGCTTGGCATTTTATCGCTACCAGGCTGAGTTTCTTTACCAATAATCATTCAAAACTGGCCGCGCAACATGAGTATTTATGTGTATTTACCATTTTACAACCTCAATACAGGCCTGTCATCCTTCCCTTCTTTACTTTTTCTAGATATCGGAAGTTGTTGTCCTGATTGGTAAAATTTTTGACCGAGCTGGAGCCAACGATCAGTTTACCCTGTTAACCTACGAACAGGGGGTTGCGGATAAACTATACACTGTCATCCTTTCACCATCGAGCAAGGTCCACGTAACAGCTAAAATTAATGCTCTCAAGGTATGTGCTATCCTTTCATGGGATGTGTTTTTTATTAAGGATTCACAACTTTAGTACCTCCTATCGTTAGATAATTTTTATTCGTTATACCAAATCATGTATAAGTTTGTCTTCGGTTTCAGTTCGTGCCAATTTTATTTCATCAGGTTGTCGTGAACTTAGCATCTTGATCATCTCAACGTCATTGCTTAACCGGGATCAAAGTAGGGGCGGCTGGGTCTTGGGACTGTCCACATTGCCACACAGTTGACCTCATAGAAAAGTACGTGCGCGTGTTTCCCACGCTGCATACCACGAACCTGCGCCCGAGAACGTCCCGCATTGGCTATGGCCACAATGCCCCCGTCAGATCTGATTGGTCCATGTCTAAGAGAAGTTGCTCGACTACTCTAGAGCCTTCTCTTGAAGCTGATTGGACAGAATAGTAGCCAAAATGTAAAGTCATACTACTGAGCATTTGAAAGTAGGTTTTTATTATAAATGTTGAGGCCTCTATAATCAATCTTGTCTTCTACACTTCTCAGGACTGTTTTCAGTATGACACTGCTGTACATCCTGAATGACTATGCCATGATTTTGTCAAGATAAATGCTGCAGGCTGACAAAGACCCAATTCGTCAATCATTATGATCCATGAGGCACGGTTGCTCGGAAGCCTATTCTATTGACCAGACATTTATGACCCTCCATGTGCAGTCCGGTGTTAATGCGTACTGCTCCTCTTTTTCTCACCTTTTGCTGGAATTATTTATTTAGGGGTTTGCAGATTTGAATAGTTCCGTTGACCCAATTGTGCAAATTTCGGCGGCTTCGGTCAGCTTCCTGTGTCCGTACTGGTGGATTCCATACGTGCAGTAGGCGGGACAGGGAAATCGACCTAAGTGTGATTAAATTTACTGCTCTGGGCGTGTTTTCGTAGCTCAATTGGTAGAGCGTTGGCTGTACTAAAGCCTTCCCCGCTGATGTGTGTTCGAATCACACCGAGACCACGATTTATTTTCCCAGTTGCGTTAACTGAATTAAAGTCGTCTAAATGATCAGTAACCCATTGAGTATTGGACAGTTCGCCTCCACCCAACAGGTTGTATAAAAGAAGTGATGTTGTAAGGTAGATGACCCACCGCGGTCACCGTGTAAGCAACTGCGATTTGATGTGCCCTTTCAGTCTTTAGAATTGGGAAGAACACACTATCGTCCGTCCGTGCGTCGGTCAGTGAATTAATGTACTCGAGCAATCTTCCTGAATTTACCAGCTTTTTCTGGCTAACCACATTTTATTAATCACACTTTACTTGCTTGCGTATTCTCTTGCCCCACATCTGACTAACGCTGCCTGTCCTACGGCCACCACTACAACTCCTTTTTGCCCCCTTCTGTCACCAGCTGCTGCACAAGTTGATCGCGTCGGATCGAGTGCAGGAGAAATACAAGGCAAACCTACTGAATCAACAAATCGGCGGCCTGGGCCCCTTGCTCTCACAAACGGACTGCTT